TAGGGAGAGGTAGGAGATGGGGTTGAGGGGGGAAAGGGGAGTAGTATGGGGAGGGAAAAGGGTAGTAGTATGGGGTTTTTGGGAGAGGGGAGGTAGAAAGGGGTTGAGGGAGAGGGGAGGGATTGGGGGGTTTAGGGGGAGGGGAGGGGAGTAGGGGGGAGGAGAGGGTAGGGGAGAAAGGGGGTTTAGGGGGAAAGGGAGGAATGGGGTTGAGGGAGAGGGGAGGTAGATGGGGGTTAGGGAGAGGGGAGGGAGTAGGGGCTGGGGAGAGGGTAGGTAGTATGGGGTTGAGGGGAGGGTAGGTAATGGGGTTGGGGGGAGGGGTAGGTAGTATGGGGGTGAGGAGAGGGTAGGTAAATGGGGGTTTAGGGAGAGGGTAGGGAAGGGGTTGAGGGAAAGGGTAGGTAGTATGGGGTTGGGGAGAGGGGTAGTAAAGGGGTTGAGGGGGAGGGAGGTAGTATGGGTGAGGGGGAGGGTAGGTAATGGGGGGAGGGAGGGGAGTAGTAGGGGTTTAGGAGAGGGAGGTAGTATGGGGCGAGGGGGTTTTCTCAGTCACTGAGTGAAGATTGTAACAGTGTCCCGCAAAAGTAGCACCGGTTTTTCCCGCTACTCTCTACCGTTTTCAAGTTTGTAGCGGCCCAAACCCCGCCCACACCGCTGCAACAGCCGCCATATTTTCAAAAACAAGTGTCAGATAAGACCACCAGTCCCAGTCATCCCCCTCACCCCACCATGATGAGGCTCCACTAGTTCTCTTTTTTCCCTCCACACGTTTAAAATTTATCTAATCTGTGTAGTTACACATATTTTTTTTCCCCGTTTCAGTGTCTATTAATATCAAATTTTGCAGTGCCATTTTGTTTACCTGCAGATTTTTTTCATCCTGAGTCAAGATTTTTTTTTTTCCACATTTCGAGTCAGACATAAAAGTAGTTACCAAATCATTATGGATTATTGTGTTATAAAAATTTAGTGATAACAGGAATAATAGCTGTTTTGCATTATTATTTTTATGAAAATTGTTATAAATATTGTTATTTTCAATGTTCACAATGTACATTTTTTCTAAAAGTGATTTGAAGCAGAAATGTCAATGGCAACCAAGGTTGTCAATATCTTATTTTATGTTATTATTGACTCCAGTTACTTGCATTTCAACCAGAATGTTGGTTATTATGTAACTCAACCTAAATTGGGTTAATATGTAAAGTCTTCAACATTAAGTGGTTGTTCACTGGAGAAATTTGTATTTTAGGCCTATGAGGAATTTGTTTTTGTGAAGAGGAACCCGACCTAATCTAAATTTTGAGTTAAATTCTAGGTTAGGTTAGGCTAGGCTAGGCTAGGCTAAGTTAGGCTAGGCTAGGCTAAGTTAGGCTAGGCTAGGTTAGGTTAGGCTAGGCTAGGTTAGGCTAGGCTAGGTTAGGCTAGGTTAAGCTAGGCTAGTTTAGGCTAGGCTAGGTTAGGCTAGGTTAAGCTAGGCTAGTTTAGGCTAGGCTAGGTTAGGCTAGGCTAGGTTAGGTTAGGCTAGGTTAGGTTAGGCTAGGTTAGGCTAGGCTAGGTTAGGCTAGGCTAGGCTAAGTTAGGTTAGGCTAGGTTAGGCTAGGTTAGGTTAGGCTAGGCTAGGTTAGGTTAGGCTAGGCTAGGTTATGTTAGGCTAGGTTATGTTAGGCTAGGTTAGGTTAGGCTAGGCTAGGTTATGTTAGGCTAGGTTAGGTTAGGCTAGGCTAGGTTAGGCTAGGCTAGGTTAGGTTAGGCTAGGTTAGGTTAGGTTAGGCTAGGTTAGGTTAGGTTAGGCTAGGCTAGGTTATGTTAGGCTAGGTTAGGTTAGGCTAGGCTAGGTTAGGTTAGGCTAGGTTAGGTTAGGTTGGGTTTTGGTTACCACAAAAAGCTTTTACCCCATTAGCCAAAAATATGATTTTCTATTATTCAACCCACTTAATGCTGTAGAATTTACACAATAAAAAAGACGAGAAGTGAATATAAACAATGACTTACAAGCTTTGGAAATTTACAATGACTATGCTGTACATATTGTATCAAGTCTAAGATCAGCATAATTTCCATTTTACAATGACACTTAGATGTCTGTAGCTGGTGAAGCAAAAATAAGTCGCAGATAAATGTTGTGATGGATATAGACAAGTGAGAGGTGCACTTAGTATGTGCTTGTGTGAGCAATGAATTATAAAAGTCTATATTCTATGGGTTTATTTTAATGTTGTTAAAGTGTTTATGATATTCAGAGTTTCCACTCATTTAGTGTTTATGACACATTAGCTGTAGGCATATGTATGGGGCAGTATGGGGATAATTTATATAGTATATTTTTACATGGTCCATATTATGTTGAGTACAGTGGTACCTCGGCTTACAAACAGCTCAAAACTCGAACAGTTATGTAAGTGTATTTATGTAAGTGTTTTTGTAAGTGGCCTGGTGGCTAAAGCTCCCGCTTCACACACGGAGGGCCCGGGTTCGATTCCCGGCAGGTGGAAACATTCGACACGTTTCCTTACACCTGTTGTCCTGTTCACCTAGTAGCAAATAGGTACCTGGGTGTTAGTCGACTGGTGTGGGTCGCATCCTGGGGGACAAGATTAAGGACCCCAATGGAAATAAGTTAGACAGTCCTCGATGATGCACTGACTCTCTTGGGTTATCCTGGGTGGCTAACCCTCCGGGGTTAAAAATTCAAACGAAATCTTATATTATCTTAACAGATTCACTCGGTACCAGCACTCGAACAGCCTTCTGGAATGAAAAAAGTTTGTATCCCGAGGTACCACTGTATTTTAGGTAAGACTCCAGCTAACACAAGAATTTAATTACAGTAAAAATACCATAATTCATACAGGTTATGTTCCCGAAATCAGCTCCAATGAATATCGTGATGTATGGAGTGAATAACTTAAGAGAAAAATAAAGTTGCATTCTTCCCATTTCCAAAATAACCAGACAAAATATTTTTTTTTAATTTCTTATTGCTTTAAAAAAATAATAGTTTTCTTATCTAACATTGTGGATAATGTTCCTCTCTGTGATACCCAAAATGTAGTGAAATTTAAGCAGTGAAAATGAAGCCTAAGTGTAGCTGGACAGAGGTTACATAAATTTTTGTTTCTTACCTTAATCTGTTTGTGCATAATATCCTGAAGGGAGATGAGAGGGGTGGCTGTAGTCTCACATATTCTCTCCTCATTGTCTTGAATTAAACATTGTTGGCTCCCTAACATCAAATGTGTTGTCTGCATGACTCGTCCACCACCCTTTAGCATGTCAATAACTTCAAGGCTTTTGAAATAGGCAGTTTCTGGCTTAATTTTGTACTTGGCATCACTAGCAACATAGGTATTCCTTTCAGATGCCAAAATTATATCCAGTTACGAGATTGAATGATAAAAAGATCGAAAACAGACTGCTAAACAAGAGAGGAACAACTGTATGGTAAATGTCTAGAGAGACTGTGTAATGTATTCACATCAGGAAGTGATGCTAAGCCTCCTGCGTCATCAAAACAATAGCCCCACCGAGGTGTGATGAGAAGTATTCCACTGCAGTGTAATAATGATAATGTGTGCTTCTATTAAAACTAGAAGAGAAAAATAATTTGCAGGTTATGGAAAACATGAGTTAATGTTGCACGAATTATGAGTCTCTCTACCATAAATAAATTCAAGGGTACGTAAGACAAAATCACATTAATTTTTAACTGATGCTTGTTCGATTCCTTATGCATCCCACAGTTTAGTTTAAAATATTTATTATATATCCTATATCCATCCTGTGGGTAGTAATCAAAAGATTTCGGAGGTACATAATTGTTGAGTGACTGGCCCTAAAGTTTTGATAACTAAATGAGTTACATTGGTAATTAATTATTTACAACCATAGTCCTACATTGGGAGCAAAATATCACAAGTAAATTTTATAGGGATGAGAACCTGAAATTTAAAGGCATTTGACATGACCATGAAATATGCAAATAACAACAAATTATTAACACAGGATTGGTAGACTGGTATACACTTGATTGGGAACATATTATAGATTGCTAATTTGGAGATATGATGCCTTTTTCCTGTCTTCCCAGTGGAGACAAACAGCAGAGATGTGTTTGATATGGTATATCTGCTCTTCAAAGGCACAAGTATGGGTACAAATTCATGGCCAGTGGATTGTCTGCATTTGGTACCTCAAGTGAAGGTTTTCTGCACAATGGATTCATTCACAAACATAATGCAGTACTTATGCACAATCATATCTAGTTACATTTGGTATACACTCAGTGGAACAGTGTGTATAATACGGTGGTTATGAACTTTGCGCACAGTTCAAGTTACAGTAATATGTACCATAGATATTGGAGATTCTCGGTCACAGTAGGTGTATTCCAGTACAGTAGTGGTCTCTGTAGCTCACCAGTCCATCGCTGGACCATGTTGGGACTCAGAGTAGGGTCACACGTGGGGTAAGGTTATCCAGCGAAGTTGGTCTTCACATCAGGTGGCAGGTTCGGCGACTTGATAAAATATAACCTTCAGTTACTCAATAACATAATTTAGACTTGCATTAAGTTAGTGCTTGCCAGTAATTTTACTAAATTTATGTATGGAAGAACTAACTAACTAACAGTAGACAAAATGTTGATTTCTCTGGATCAGTTGATGACCTGGTATCATCAGTAAAGTCGCTCCCATTCAGGGTGAATATGGTACCACAAGTACAGCCCTTTGTTTACTTTTACTGCAGCTGCTGTATATTGAGGATGTGTGACAATTTCTCCAAATTGCTCCATAGACCCCTCACATTGTAGACTAACAGCTGGTGTTGTCGAATCCTTGCACCTCACTCGCAAAACTTCTCTGATCTGTCACTGTAGCGGTTCAGCCATTTTTTCTGCAATGGAACCAGGTCCTCATGACACATGGAAAGAGGAGAGATTCATAATGGATAGTAGAGGAAAGAGACTTTAAAAATGGTATGTGATACTGACGAGTATGGAAAAAAAGAGACTACGTACAAACAACAGGACATTTTATTGGAATTGTTTTAATCCTAGGACTTTGGTCACTCCAACTGTGACCAAGGTCAGTCACATATGGAGATTAAAGTTTAAAAGTTTTAATTTGTCCTAATGGAGCATCTTTAGGTCAAAACTGAGCAGACTAGTGTCATTCTTCCTTCCAACACACAGCTACCTGGAGTATACCTCGAGGGTGTTCCGAGGATCTCTGATTCCGGAGAATTTGGTTGAACGAAAACGATACATCTGCACTTGTAGCACATTATGTATGCTTCTGTTCTACTGAACAGAATCATACATAAAGACATGTACATGTATTACTAACCAAGTTTTTATAGGGTTAAGATTGAAAAATGTATTGGTAACTTCCCTTTCCAAATTCTTTTATATAATTTACTGTATAATATGTAAACTAATGTACAACTTAACAGTACATTGTCCTTAATCATTAATAAAGTGTAGAACTTGGGAATTTTTGTAATGTGTAGTGTGTTCATATGAATAGTCATAATTGTTTATTCTGATATTTGTGAGTCTTGTCATGTGCCCTTTAAATGTAACACTATTGTGACCAACACCGTGACTGAAATCTTTGCTTGCATTTACTCTTCATCAGAAAGTGAACACTGGCAACATTTTGTGTTGCTGGAAATTATTGGAGAAGGTGCCTGAAATACATTGGCATTCAATGGCTCAGTTGGCAATGCACTCACCTCTCACACTGAGTGTCTGTGGTTCAATCCCTGGCATGGGTAGAAACATTGGGCATGTCTCCTTACATGTGCTGTTGCTGTTCATCTAACAGTAAGTAGGTACAGTGGTACCCTGAGTTTCATACAGTTATCAACTCGAACAATTATGTAAGCGTAATATTGTAAGTGCTTTTGTAAGTGTATTTTTGGGGGTGTGAAACTGACTAATCTAATTTACATTATTCCTTATGGGAACAAATTCATTTGGTAACGTCACTCAAACAGCCTTCTGGAACGAAGTATGGCTGGAACTCGGGGCACCACTGTACCTGGGTGTTAGTTGACTAGTATGAGCTGCATCCTGGGGGACAAGATTAAAGGACCCCAATGGAATAAAGACAGACAGTCTTCGATGACGTACTGACTTATTGGGTTATCCTGGTTGGTTAAAACTCTAGGTTAAAAATCCAAACAAATCTTATCCTAAGGGAGTCATAATAAACAGATTATGAAAGAACAGATGAGGTTGCACCACTACCATAAACAAAGGAGAGATCATACTTGAGAAAACATTATTACTGAAAGGAAATTTGTTTACTAAAATGGAATGTGGTAGAAGAGGAGGTAGTAAGTGCCACCAATTGCTAGTAATTAAATAAAAATTATATGAACAAGTTCTGAAGAAGATATATCATGAACCTAGCTACAAGTCAGCGGTGTAATCACATTATCATAATAATTTACTGGAGAGATGGGAGGACTTATAAAGTAAATCCAGTGAAAAGGAGGAGCATTGTGGGCACAATAAAAGAACATTTTATCAACTTCCGTGGGCCCAGACTCTAGTATTCTTCCAGAAGGTAGAAACATTTTTTTGGAAAAGCATAGAAGTCTTCTTGAGGCAACTCCATTAATCAGGCTTCAGATCAACCAGGCTGTGATGGATATGTGGGTCAGTGGGTTGCCAATAGCTACAGCTTGACTGACCAAGCAGGCACCAGACAAGCCTGGTCCATAGCAAAGCAAAATCTCTTGAAACTGGTCACAGTCAGCTTTAGATATATTGGACCTCCGTATAACAATCTTTGCAAATAAGAAACAAAATTCAGAGTCAGTCAACTCTGAAACAATGGAGGAAGTCCATTGGTTACAGAATTGCCCATTATTGTTACTGTCAGGACAAAGCAAGATTCTATTCAACACAATTGCCATTTTTGGTCACCTATTTGAATCTCCTCTGGTACAGCTGAAAAACATTAGGGATGTCGTTTCCATAAGACACCTGCTGTCCCTGTCCCTGTTCACCCATCAGTTTAAAATGGGTACCTGGGTGTAAGTCGCCTCGTGTGGATCACATCCTGGGACAAAACTGACCTAATGTGCCCGAAATGCTCAGCATAACAAGGGGCTTTCTATATAGTAGTACATTTGTCAGTGATGTCAGCTAGGCCTGTATACCATGTACATGTACTTGTAGTAAATAAAGATATTATTTATTTGTTGTTTAAAATGAGAGGATGAGAATGGTCTGGTTTATTTACTGGAAAGTTTAGAGATTAATGAAATAACTGATTCTTGAGGAGGGGGACAATATCTTGTTGCTTGAGCAGCTCTTGAATTAATGCTGTTAGAACTTCAGGTGGAGGTGGAGTGAGGAGGGTCAAGTAATTCAGGTATGACAGCAATTGTTGAGGCAGTTTGTTTGCCAGATTTATGCAAAATTAAATAAACTATGCCAGGCTTTTCTCTTGTAGTATCAATTTTTTGAAAATCATATTTATGGCACAAAATTCATTGCATATTGAACTCTCTCATGGACATCTTGTGGAGAGATGCCCAACACCTTCATATGAGTTCTCTCAGGCTGAACTGTCGAACTTATTTTAATTGAAAGAGCACATAGACTTCACTTTTGGCAACTGTTTCAATGTTTGATTATTCTTACTCAAGCTACCCTTATCTCTATAGTTTTTACCATTAATACAGACACAGTGACTAGCTGAAACTATCCTTTTTGCACCAACTACATCTTGTACATTTTACACTGACACATCCCTCTACATCTTTGCCCCTAATGAAGGCATTTCTCCTCGTCTTCCCCACAACAACAATGCTGATTGACCCATCTGTGTTTAGTACATTTTTGTTAGTAACAATACCTGTAATAATGATAATAATAATATAATAATAATAATAATAATAATAAGGGTGTGATAAAAGAGAAAAAGGTAGCTTACGAGAGGTTTTTACAAAGCAGAAGTGTTATAAAAAGAGCAGAGTATATGGAGAGTAAAAGAAAGGTGAAGAGAGTGGTGAGAGAGTGCAAAAGGAGAGCAGATGAAAGAGTGGGAGAGGCACTGTCAAGAAATTTTAATGAAAATAAGAAAAAAATTTGGAGTGAGTTAAACAAGTTAAGAAAGCCTAGGGAAAGTATGGATTTGTCCATTAAAAACAGAGTAGGGGAGTTAGTAGATGGGAGAGGGAGGTATTAGGTAGATGGCGAGAATATTTGAGGAACTTTAAATGTTGAGGAAGAAAGGGAGCGGTAATTTCATGCACTGGCCAGGGAGGTGTACCATCTTTTAGGAGTGAAGAAGAGCAGAATGTAAGTGTGGTGGAGTACGTGAGGCATTACGTAGAATGAAAGGGGGTAAAGCAGCTGGAAACTGATGGGATCATGACAGAAATGTTAAAAGCTGGGGGGATATAGTGTTGGAGTGGTTGGTACTTTGTTTAATAAATGTATGAAAGAGGGGAAGGTACCTAGGGATTGGCGGAGAGCATGTATAGTCCCTTTATAAAAGGGAAAGGGGACAAAAGAGATTGTAAAAATTATAGAGGAATAAGTTTACTGAGTATACCAAGAAAAGTATACAGTAGAGTTATAATTGAAAGAATTAGAGGTAAGACGGAATGTAGAATTGCGGATGAGCAAGGAGGCTTCAGAGTGGGTAGGGGATGTGTAGATCAAGTGTTTACATTGAAGCATATATGTGAACAGTATTTAGATAAAGGTAGGGAAGTTTTTATTGCATTTATGGATTTAGAAAAGGCATATGATAGAGTGGATAGAGGAGCAGTGTGGCAGATGTTGCAAGTTTATGGAATAGGTGGTAAGTTATTAAATGCTGTAAAGAGCTTTTATGAGGATAGTGAGGCTCAGGTTAGGGTGTGTAGAAGAGAGGGAGAATACTTCCCGGTAAAAGTAGGTCTTAGACAGGGATGTGTAATGTCACCATGGTTGTTTAATATATTTATAGATGGGGTTGTAAAAGAAGTAAATGCTAGGGTGTTCGGGAGAGGGGTGGGATTAAATTAAAGGGGAATCAAATTCAAAATGGGAATTGACACAGTTACTTTTTGCAGATGATACTGTGCTTATGGGAGATTCTAAAGAAAAATTGCTAAGGTTAGTGGATGAGTTTGAGAATGTGTGTAAAGGTAGAAAGTTGGAAGTGAACATAGAAAAGAGTAAGGTGATGAGGGTATCAAATGATTTAGATAAAGAAAAATTGGATATCAAATTGGGGAGGAGGAGTATGGAAGAAGTGAATGTTTTCAGTTACTTGGGAGTTGACATGTCGGCAGATGGATTTTTGAAGGATGAGGTTAATCATAGAATTGATGAGGGAAAAAAGGTGAGTGGTGCGTTGAGGTATATGTGGAGTCAAAAAACGTTATCTATGGAGGCAAAGAAGGGAATGTATGAAAGTATAGTAGTACCAACACTCTTATATGGATGTGAAGCTTGGGTGGTAAATGCAGCAGCGAGGAGACGGTTGGAGGCAGTGGAGATGTCCTGTCTGAGGGCAATGTGTGGTGTAAATATTATGCAGAAAATTCGGAGTGTGGAAATTAGGAGAAGGTGTGGAGTTAATAAAAGCATTAGTCAGAGGGCAGAAGAGGGGTTGTTGAGGTGGTTTGGTCATTTAGAGAGAATGGATCAAAGTAGAATGACATGGAAAGCATATAAATCTATAGGGGAAGGAAAGAGGGGTAGGGGTCGTCCTCGAAAGGGTTGGAAAGAGGGGGTAAAGGAGGTTTTGTGGGCGAGGGGCTTGGACTTCCAGCAAGCGTGCATGAGCGTGTTAGATAGGAGTGAATGGAGACGAATGATACTTGGGACCTGACGATCTGTTGGAGTGTGAGCAGGGTAATATTTAGTGAAGGGATTCAGGGAAACCGGTTATTTTTATATAGTCAGACTTGAGTCCTGGAAATGGGAAGTACAATGCCTGCACTTTAAAGGAGGGGTTTGGGATATTGGCAGTTTGGAGGGATATGTTGTGTATCTTTATACATATATGCTTCTAAACTGTTGTATTCTGAGCACCTCTGCAAAAACAGTGATAATGTGTGAGTGTGGTGAAAGTGTTGAATGATGAAAGTATTTTCTTTTTGGGGATTTTCTTTCTTTTTTGGGTCACCCTGCCTTGATGGGAGACAACCGACTTGTTGAAAAAAGAAAAAAAAAAAAAAATAATAATAATAATAATAATAATAATAATAATAATAATAATAAAAATGACACATGAAAGCATTAATAGTGTGTCAAACAGAAAACCCTACTTATCATGACTGATATTGAGGGAAGTCCCTTGGGTTACAGTGTAGGTATTAACAGGAAGTTAAAACAATAATTAATAAGTCACATGTTATAATTCATAAAATAAAAAAAAATCAGTTGTCTAATTGTAAAAGGAGAGGTACTAGTTTATGAAATTACAATACAAGTTATCTGAAGATTATCAAGGACCTTGGTCATTCTAAGCAGAAAACTTCTATTAAACAGTATTGTCAAAATGAACAGACAGGAATACACTGACAGTGAGCATTAATAATTCTTGTACCACTTGGATGTATGAGGTTAAGTACATGGATTATTTTATGTAAAATTCCCAGTACATATTATATTGCTGTCATGAATCAATTAAGGTAAGGAGATGTTTTTTAACAGTAGCCTTGAAACAGTAGCCAGCTAGCCAAGTAGCTGATGCGCTCGCCTGGAGTTTTACGACTCACTCACCATGAGTTAACACCTCACCTGTACCATGATTTGTAGCTTTGAAATGGTTGACAGCTAGGTAACATAATATCTGAAAAATAAAGGAATGCATAAATATAAGGTTGGCCATAGTATGAGAGAAAGCGTGGAAGGTGTTATCTACGGGTGGGTGTGAGGTGTGAGATGTAGTGAGAGATCCTGGAAACTAAGAATCAGACTGATCAGTAGAGTTCTGCAGACATTTCCCTTAAGTATGAATTGATGTTATGCACTGCAGGTCTAGGCCTGTTCTTTCATCTTTCCTGGCAACCTTTGTCATGGTCTTGTAATCATCTCTGTTACAGCTGAAGCACAAACAACTACCTCAGTTTGGGATTGAGGTTGAAAACAAGAATTGTAAATTACCTCAGCTGTGTGTTCATATTTGGAAACCAGACATTACATTGCAGTGTTGTTGGGTTAAGGGCAGGCCAGCCTAAAGGCCCTGCTGCCAATTTTGGGCATGATGTCATTTGGCTGGTGAATGTTGTCACTGGCTAATATGCTGCAAGTGTATAATAATATATAATAATCTTTATTTCTACACCTACATGATACAACTTGTACAGACCTAACTGACATCATTGGCATTGACATATAGAGAGCCCCTGGCTATCCAGAGCATTTTTGGCAACTTAGGTTAAGTGTAGTGTAAAGAAGGCATTTATCACTAATATCTAACAGACCATGACATGAATCATAACAATAGGGCTGTAGGGGCTCTTATTGTCTAGCCATGACCTCATCCTGGGAAGTTAATGGGTGAAAAATAAATTGAACCCCACACAACCACAAATGCTCAATTAAAGAATGTGTATTACAGTATTCTGGCTAACACAGAGCAGGATGTGCAAATGTGATTATAGGAGCATTAGACAAGAGAGAATGAGGAGTCAGACCTTGTGTAAATAAGCAGCTTCTTAGCTGACAAGAATTGCTTGCCACCTACAGGGAATTACTATGTCAATGAGGGAGTGACTCAGGCAGTAAACCTTGGTTATTAAAAAAAAAGGATTTTTAGCACTGTAAGGTTCAGAGCGGAAGGCAGTGTACTTGGGGAACAAGGGGTCACTAGTCCACATAAGGCATAGATATATATTAAATATACTATCTGCTACTCTAGTGATATCAAGTGTAGTGTGTTTTTGTTTACCATCTTTTAACCCTTTGACTGTTTTCGACGTATAAATACGTCTTACGAGCCAATGTTTCTGACATATATACTCAATAATTCTAGCGGCTTCAAGTCAAGCGGGAGAAAGCTGGTAGGCCCACGTGTGAGAGAATGTGTCTGTGTGGTCAGTGTGCACCACATAAAAAAAATCCTGCAGCACACATTGCGTAATGAGAAAAAAAAAACTGATCGTTTTTTTGGAATAAAACGCCGACTTTGAGGTGTATTTTCGTATAGTATTTATTGTTGTATTCGCGTTTTCATGGTCTTAGGTGATAAAATGGAAAACATATTACAGAAATAGAGAGATTTCATTACTTTGACGATGAAAACGACCTTGAAACTAAGCTCAAAGTAGCGGAAATGTTCGATTTTTACCAATGTTCAGGAGTAAATAAATCACACCACACGTCCAAACACGTCAACTGGGGAGTCTAATATTCTTTCACTAGTGCACGTATATTATTTATACCATTTTTACAATAATGCAGTAGTCTGCATAACAGTAAATTTTGTATTTTTTTGTATGAATAAAAAATCAAAATAGATAGCAATAATAATATAAGAGGGGCCTAGAGATGTGACTAATGAACAGAGCGTATGTTATTTTAGTGCCACGAATGTCTACCTTGTTTATTCTGGACCCTATTTTGAAATTGGCATCTTTTTTAGTTTGCGTGAAATTGGCCAAATTGCCAATTTCTGACCACCATATTGGGTAGTCCAAATTAGTAAATGGAAGTTTTCTTGTACTCAGCTGATAGATAAAATGGAGTTCTAAAGAAATAGCTATGAGTTTGGTCACCTGGAACAATGGAATTGGCTGAAAATAGGACTCCAAGTCGGTGAAATCGCCGATACGCATATGTCGCCGAGACCGCTAACTTCGCGGGAGCATAATGCCATGAGTTTTCGACCAAATTTCGAACTTTTGGTGTCATTACCATCGGGAAAAGATTCTCTATCATTTCATAAGAAAAAATAATTTTTTTTTTTTCAAAAATTGAGCGACATAGAATGACAGTTTCAGAAAGAGGCCTGAAACAGTCAAAGGGGGTTAAAGCCAGGTAAATTTCTGTCATTTTATCACTTATGGCATGAACATTTTTTTGCATTTGTTTTCTTTGTCTATGAGTAAGACCAGCCTCACACACTGATTTAATTCTATACAGATGTGATGCAGACAAGAGTACTATGGTGACCTGCTTTTAACATAAGCATTAATGGTAATGTTTTTTGCAGGGTTATCAAGGCTACAGTCAGCCCCAGGGAGGCTACACGGGCCAGGCTCCGCCGTCAGGCTACCCTGGTCAGGCTCAAGGGGTGAGGCACAAACATCCTAGTAGTTTAACGTGCATAAGGTATAGATGCTTCTCTGATTGTAGATGTCACAGCATGACTTAGTGGTTGCATAGTGGAGTGTTGAAGCCTTCTGTAGTGCAAGAATAACTAGTCAAAAACTCAGCATGTGTGGGATCTGTTTCTTGAGTTTTGCTCTTTAGTGACCTTTGTAACTCAGTGGTCCAAAGTTTCATCTGTTCAGAGTATTGTGAAGATAAACACCATAAGATCCTTTATCGTAGACATACAAGTGTGTCATGGAATGATTGTGTAGGCAAATGAAACTGAGGAAATTCGTATACCTCAATAAGTTACTTTAAAGTGGCCTTTGAAAATTGTATAAAAGGGGAAATGCAAGCTAAAGCCAAAATAGAAACATATTGTGGTGGTGTGGTGTCCACATTTAAAAAAATGTGGATGAAATATATAAGCTTATAGCCATGTTACAAAAAATAAAACTCTTGGAGACAAGAGTTACGATGAAAGGTTGACAGTGCTAAAAAAATGCGACTAGTTAATGGTTCATGTCAGACCGAAGCTTCGTCATAAAGTTTCTTTCTCCTATTTGTGGGTTAATTGTGTATTGTTCCAGTCACAGTATTGTGCCTTTGTGTTCTTTCTAAAATGTGTACTTGTTACGAGGATAAAAAAAGGATATTAGCATGTGTAAAATCAAAAAATAAATAAAAAATAGTTAAAGAATTCTTAACATCATCCACCATGAGGAGGAACATGAAGCCTTGTTAATCTTAAGCTGGGCTTAAGTTTGCCTGAAATGCTCTGCATATTAAGGGACTTTCTGCGCTCACACCTACTTGTCAGTCACCCATGTCCAAACATTGTATCATACTGAAACAAAGAATCTTGAATGTAAACTGAGGAAATGACAGTGTCAAAACAGTAGTAGAAATTTTCTTTCAGTTGAACATGGGAATGAAGTACAAGAGAGAGAGCAAGTGCTACAGTGGAAACGATGAAAATTACAGTGCATGATAGATTAAATACTGATGATGGGACAACACAAGCATAGCTGCCATAGCTACAAATACAGGAGTAGTACAAACTCAGGTCAAGCATAAGGAAGAATTGCTAGTGTCGAGGAAATAAACAGGAAGACTACAAGAAACCATCAGGTAGACAAAAACTATTGGACAAAGGACAAAACAAGAGAGATAGAGAGAGAAACTGCCAAAAAGGTTTAATATATTAATACATGATTATTTTAAAAAGGCTAGAGCTAAGGTACATTATGAATGAGAGGAAATTAAATAAGCATTCAAGGGGAAACTACTTAGTGGTGGAGAACACAGAACAGAAGAGGAAGAAGATTAGCAACATTTCTATAAGAAACACTAATAGCCATAGAAACTAACATTTAAAATGATTATCATATTATTATAATCATGGGGGAGCGCTAAACCCATAGGATTATACAGTGCCTGTGGAGGGGGATGGAAGGTATTCAGGCTTAATTCAGGGAACTGGAGCACAGATCCAATTTCCCTGGATCACGAGCCCTTGAGCGGTATGGCTATCATAGTTTTAGCGGTAGGAATTGAAAACAAAACCAAGCTAAGAATGCTGACATGTTTACAAGAAATATGGTGAGAGTTAAATATTTTCTGTGGATTTTCCTTGCTTATCTACATCCTTCCCTGCATTCCTGCAAGTTAACCATGACGAATGACAAACTTTAATTTTACAAAGAATAGTACATAATTGACAGTGGATTAATTGACATGTATGTATTTTTATGGCAAGCCCCAGGATATACAGTATGTATTTTTATGGCTCGCCCCAGGATATACAGTATGTATTTTTATGGCAAGCCTCAGGATATACAGTATGTATTTTTATGGCTCGCCCCAGGATATACAGTATGTATTTTTATGGCTCGCCCCAGGATATACAGTATGTATTTTTATGGCTCGCCCCAGGATATACAGTATGTATTTTTATGGCTCGCCCCAGGATATACAGAGTATTTCAGGTAGCCATAAGAGTAATTTATAACTCTGGAATAATCTAGAATGTTTTGGTTTGCAGTCGCTGACATTTTATATAACAATTTGACTTAAGTTTTCTAATATGTGTATTGAGAATTTATGTAACCAGGTTGCCAGTTTGGCCCTAAAAAGGCTATTTTGGCCTTTTTAGGCATTGGTTGACTTTTAAATATATGAATATATATGAATAAATGAAGCTTCAATAATTATATAAAAGATATATTAAAAGACAACATCCTATGGCAGATCAGCACTGTGAGTCAGCATTGTGTTGGACATGTTGAAAATTGTATTAAATACCGACAAGTTGATGAATAAGACAAGTACAACAGTTGGGTAGGTTCATTCTTGAAACTTTTTGCCTAAGTGGGAGGTTTTATCAGAGAAATACAGAGGATCATGTATTGTAGGCAGCAGGACTAGTGGTGAGGTAAGATGATGTAATCAGTCACTCAACCGTGAAGAAATTGTTTGAGGTGGTCAGTCCCTCAACCTATAGAAGAGTTGAAGTGGCATTATGGGCATTCCTGGTGTCACCTTCACTCATTTTCTTCTCAAACCCTTGGAACTCCACATCAGAATCACTATCCTTACTTCTAGTGCTCTTAGGTGTTAACAATGATTGGTTAATTGTGGGAGTGAGGGGGGGGGGTTCACATCTGCATGCCATGTTAACAGGCTGAGAGGGTAGCTGTTCCCATCACGCTCTGTGTGGGGGCAGGATTTTTATGTTTACTGCACACATCCAGTGTGCAGACCCATTCTTTTCTGTCTATGCCTAAATTTGCCACTCACAGGAAATTTGGAGGCACAATGAATTATGCCTGCAGGTACATCACTGACCTGCAACTCTTGGACGGTTCAATACGTGACTAATAGTTTAACCCTTTCAGTGGCTATCGTGTAGAACTGTGTCACTGAGGCTAGGGGTCCCTTGCATGGTTCTGTCATGAGGTCAGCTCATTCAGATTAACTGTGAGCAGTAAATTTTAGCCTAGATATGAGAGAATGGGTCTGCACAGTGACTGTTCACAGTATAAAAAAAATCTTGCCCCCATGCAGTGCATGATGGGAAAAGCAAAACTATGTGTTTGGGTTAAAATAGTGTCTGATGTGTTTTCTGGGATGGTTTTTATAGTTTTTTGGGCTGTTCTTTGGTATTGTTTAATACCAAGATGATTTTAGTTTCAGGACTGGAAGTACAGTGGCTTACATTGGGCTCAAAATTGTGGAAATATTCTAATTTTTCCAATTTTTCTGAGGATGGATAAGGCTATCCTATACCTCCAGTCTGTTTTATGAGTTCTTTAATAGATCTGATTAAATTATTGGGGTGCTGTAAACCATGATCAGTCATTCCTTGTTATATATTATTATCTGGGAAATAAGGGTGAATCTTCTATTTTTGTGTGATTGTGAATTCAAAATGGAAGGCAAGTGTAATAGAGGAGAGGCCTGGGAATATGATTAACAAACAGAGGGAATGTTGTTTTAGTGCTTGGAATATCTGCATTGTTTATTTTACACTTTTATTTTTATTTTATTTTTAATTTTGCATAAAATTTGCCAAATTACCTACTTGTGTGCACTTTTATAGGGTACGTGACTTAAGAAATCGTAATGACACGATTGCAAATAAACCATACCCCCGGCCGGGATTGAACCCGCGGTCATAGAGTCTTAAGTCATGTTGACGGCAGTGAAGGGACTTGAACTAGAGTTCGTCACGGCCACGCTAGCTGGAGATTCGTCTGTAAAAACTTGCATTTGTGGTCACAGAGGTGCCTGTGCTAACCTTCCTATGGTGTAGAAATATACCTAGTTGGATGAATCTTATTGTGGCTAGCTGGTCTAGTGGTTAGCGCGACGGGCTGGAGTTTTGAGACTCTATGACCGCGGGTTCAATCCCGGCCGGGGGTATGGTTTATAGGGTACGTACTTGTTATAGTTGAATGGGCTGTTTCTTGTGTTCAGTTGATAGAACCGAACACATACTAGCAAAATAGCTAAGAATTTGGACAAATAGAGCAATGAAATTGACTTGAAATAAGACTCAGTCTTCAAAATTGCCAATTCATAAATTGCTCTCAGACCACTAACTTTGCACCTGCGTAATTCTGTAAGTTTTCCATCAAATTTCATACCTCTGGCGTCATTATCTTCAGAAGAAGATTCTCTGCAATTTCATAAGAATGTTTTTGTGGACACTGGGAGCAATATTAATTTTTGGGGGTCTGTACATTGAAAAGGGTTGGGGGTTAAAGAGATGTACTCTCTAAAACAAAAATTATTCCATATTTTTGTCTTGCTCATGAAATTTAGATTTATGGGGCTTCAAGGTGCCTTACCTACCCACAGAAATGGAGGGCTAATTGTCCAGTATATCAGAGGAGGTAACAACTGTAATGGGGTCATGCAGATGAGCAACAAGCTGTATAGTCTTTATCACAACATTGGGGGCTGGATCTCTCCATGGAAATAGCCAATGAAATAATACTTTAATGATTGAGGACTAGGCATACTCTCCTTTCCCAACACTACCTTCTTACTGGGGGATCCTGCACACTCCTTCCCTTTCCTGTAAACAAGTGAACTTTTAGCTAAGTTTTTTTTATGTGGGAGACAAAGTTTATAATGAATGCATGTCTTTTAACATTTAATAGCTGTGTGTGTAAACTGCTTAATTACTTTTAATATTTTTGACTCAAAGTACTCCTTTACATATAGTTTTCATTATAAGTTCTTTAATGGCTACTGTAAAATGATAACTTTTTTGTGATTCTGGTCCTCAGTATAATTTTAAATTCAGTAATGGACATTGTTTTTATATTTTTTTTTTCAACAAACCGGCTGTATCCCACCAAGGCAGGGTGGCCCAAAGAGAAAAACGAAGTTTCTCTTTTTAAATTTAGTAATTTATACGGGAGAAGGGGTTACTAGTCTCTTGCTCCTGGCATTTTAGTTGCCTCTTACAACACGCATAGCTTACGGAGGAAGAATTCTGTTCCACCTCCCCATGGAGGTAAGAGGAAATAAACAAGAACAAGAACTAGAAAGAAAATAGAAGAAAACCCAGAGGGGTGTGTATATATGTGCTTGTATGTACATGTATGTGTAGTGTGACCTAAGTGTAAGTAGAAGTAGCAAGACGTACCTGAAATCTTGCATGTTTATGAGACAGAAAAAAGGACACCAGCAATCCTACCATCATGTAAAACAATTACAGGCTTTCTTTTTACACTCGCTTGGCAGGACGGTAGTACCTCCCTGGGCGGTTGCTGTCTACCAACCTACTACCTAGATTTTTGTTTATATTCTTCTTTCAACACACCGGCCGTATCCCACCGAGGCGGGGTGGCCCAAAAGGAAAAACGAAAGCTTCTCCTTTTACATTTAGTAATATATACAGGAGAAGGGGGCTACTAGCCCCTTGCTTCCGGAATTTTAGTCGCCTCTTACAACACGCATGGCTTACAGAGGAAAAATTCTGTTCCACTTCCCCATGGAGGTAAGAGGAAATAAACAAGAGCAAGAACTAGTAAGAAAATAGAAGAAAACCCAGAAGGGTGTGTACATATATAGTATATGCTTGTACATGTATGTGTAGTGTGACCTAAGTGTAAGAAGAAGTAGCAAGACATACCTGAAATTTTGAATGTTTACGAGACAGAAAAATGGACACCAGCAATCCTACCATCATATAAAACAATTACAGGCTTTCGTTTCACACTCGGCAGGACGGTAGTACCTCCCTGGGCAGTTGCTGTCTACCAACCTACTACCTAGATTTTTGTTTATATATGTCAAATAAAAACATTATTGCCAGTTTTGGAATTACCGTAGTTTATTTGGCAACCATGCTCTATACAGTATAAATGTTATATAAAAAATATGTAGTCATGAATTTTAAAGTGCATGTTTTTATCTTCATTTTTTCCATTTTTAGCAGGCACCTCCATCAGGATATCCCAGCCAGCAGCAGCAGCAGCAGCAGCAGCAACAGCAGCAGCAGCAACAGTATGCTGCATACCAGCAATCTCAAGCTGGATACCAGGGACAGCAGCCTCAAGGTGGTTACCCTGGACAACAACCTCAACAAGGATATGCAGGACAGCAGACTCAGGCAGGTATGGACATTAATAATAATCTTTATACATGTACATGATACTACTTATGCAGACCATAGCTGATGTCAGTGACGTACTATATAGAAAGCCCTTGGTTATGCAGAGCATTTCAGGCAACTTAGGTTAATTTTGTCCCCGGAATGTGACCCACACCAATCAGCTAACACTCAGGAACCTACTTGCTGTTAGGTGAACAGGGGAACAGGGACAGCAGGTGTTTTAAGGAAACATGCCCAGTGTTTCTACCCATTCTGGGGATGTTCTATGCTCATGGTTCATTTTACATACTTTCTGTAATTTGTAATTTACTACAGTATATAGAATTGTCCTAGGTAGTAGGTTGGTAGACAGCAACCACCCAGGGAGGTTCTACCGTCCTGTCCTGTCAAGTGAGTGTAAAACGGAAACCTGTAATTGTTTTACCTGATGGTAGGATTGCTGGTGTCCATTTTTCTGTCTCATAAACATGCAAGGTTTCAGGTATGTCTTGCTACTTCTACTTACACTTAGGTCACACTACACATACATGTACAAGCATATATGTATATACACACCCCTCTGGGTTTTCTTCTATTTTTCTTACTAGTTCTTGTTCTTGTTTATTTCCTCTTACCTCCATGGGGAAGTGGAACAGAATTCTTCCTCTGCAAGCCATGCGTGTTGTAAGAGGCGACTAAAATGCCGGGAGCAAGGGGCTAGTAACCTCTTCTCCTGTATATATTAATAAATGTAAAAGGAGAAACTTTCATTTTTCCTTTTGGGCCACCCCGCCTCGGTGGGATACGGCCGGTGTGTTGAAAGAAAGAAAGATATAGAATTGTGAAATGTTTCACCTGATTATAAATAGAGATGTACTTTTAGTGAGTTTAACCCATAACTTCATGCTTTTTCACAGCTCAAGGTCTTTTATTCTATATGGTACTCAATTAAGAAAAATACCCATTAACCCTTTGAGGGTCCGTTCCGTAGATCTACGGCTTTACGTTCAGGGTCCAAACCGTAGATCTACGTCATGAGCTCAGCTCACTCTGATAAACTGTGAGTGGTACATTTGGGCCTAAATATGAGAGAATACATCTATGTGGTATGTGTGCACCACATAAAACAAATCCTGCAGCACACTGTGTATAATGAGAGAAAAAAACTGAGATCATGATTTTTCGATTAAAACAGCGACTTTGCAGTGTTTTTTTGTATGTTTTTATAGTTCTATTTGCGATTTCTTGGTCTCATTTGATAGAATGGAAGACATATTACAGAAATAGAGATGATTTTGATTGGTTTTCGCACTGGAAATGGCTTGAAACTGAGCTCAAAGTAGCAGAAATGTTAAATTTTTGCCGATATTCAAGAGTAAACAAACGACCTCACACGTCTGATACACGCCAGCTGGTGGGTCTAATATGCATTCACAAATATGGTGATGATATTTATACAATTATTACAGTATTTCATAACAGTAAATCTTCTATTTTTTGGTGTGAATAAAAATTCATTATGTGAATAAAAAATCAAAATGGAATTTATTTGTAAAGCCTCAAAACATAACTAATGAACAGAGGAAATGTTAGTTTAGTTCCAGGAATACCTACATTGTTTATTCTGGACCCTATTTTGAAATTGGAATATTTTGAACTTTGTGTTAAATTGGCCAAATTAACAATTTCCGATCACTTTAATTTGTAGTTGAAACAGTTGACTTGGCGATTTCTTGTGCTCAATCAATAGAATAGAAGTAATACTAGTGAAATAGCTAAGAATTTGATTGACTGGAATAATGTAATTGGCCTAAAATGGGAGTCAAAGTCGGCAAAATCGCCGATTCGTAAATATCGCTGACCCATCAAAATTCACGAGAGCACAATTTTGTCAATTTTCCATCAAATTTCGTACTTTGTTTTATTACCTTCACAAAAAGATTCTCTACCATTTCATAAGAAAAAATAACAAATTTTTTTTTTTTAAATTCTTGGACAATGGGGCAGCACTTCAGATTTGGGCCTTGGACCCTGAAGGGGTTAATGTATTTAGTATTCTAAAGAAGGGTATGCTTTTCCTTTCTTAGGTTACCCTGGTGCTTCTGCGGGCATAGACCCCAACATTGTATTGTGGTTCCGTTCTGTGGATCAAGATAACTCGGGTCACATCAACTCCCGAGAATTGCAACAAGCTCTGCAGAATGGCAGTTGGTCACCGTTTTCTGAAGAGGCTTGTAAACTTATGATATGTAAGTATGTAAAAGAAGGAAATTAAAAGTGAATACGTATAGGAAAGGGTAAGGTGATGAGGATAAAAAAATTATGTAATGAAAGATTGGATATCAGATTGGAGAGAGTATGGAGGAGATGAATGCATTCAGATATTTGGGAGTGGACGTGTCAGCAGGTGGGTCTATGAAAGATGAGGGGAATCGTAGAATTGACAAGGGAAAAAAAGCGAGTTGTGCACTGAGGAGTCTGTGGAAGAAAAGAGAGGAATGTATGAGAGTATAGTTATACCAACACTCTTATATGGGTGTGAAACATGGATGGTGAACGTTGCAACAAGGAGAAGGCTGGAGGCAGTGGAGATGTCATGTCTGAGGGTAATGTGTGGTGTGAATATAATGTAGAGAATCCATAGTTTGGAGATTAGGAGGTGTGGGATTACCAAAACTATTATCCAGAGGGCTGAGGAGGGGTTGTTGAGGTGGTTCGAATATGTAGAGAGGATGGAACAAAATAGAATGACTTTGAGAGCGTGAAAATCTGTAGTGGATGGAAGGCAGGGTAGGGGACGGCCTAGGAAAGGTTGGAGGAATTCAAATTCAAATTCAAATTCAAATTCCAAGTTTATTCTCTATAAGGATTACAATGCTGAGTTTACAGAATTTGGTTATTGTGTGGTTTACATGTAGTAAAATAATAATTACAGAGTGTACCACTAGAACACCTAGCATGGCTAGGCATTTCGGGCAGACTTAGATTAAATCTTAAGTTTAAAATATTACAAAATTATGAGGTAAGTTGGTATTATGGCTAAGTGACTAAATACTAGTTAGTGAGTTTAGCAATGTGAATACTTTTGTTTTGGCACTATACATAGTTTTAGTATTGGAGTATCACAGGCCAACTTATGACTAGTTAAGATTCATTATTTTAAGATTGAGATTGATATTTCTGTTTATGGTCAAATGGGTGAGTGAGTTTTAAGTGTTAACCACCAGGTGGTATTCGCGTAATTAGTTGACAGGGTGTATCAGGGAGATAAGATGTTTTCTAATGGTAGTTTTGAAGGTGATGAATGTGTCTGCAGTTTTAGAATTTTCAGGTAGGGTGTTCCAGATTTTAGGGCCTTTGACATACATTGAATTTTTGTAAAGGTTTAGTTAGACATGGGGAATGTCATAGAGATGTTTGTGTCTGGTGTTATGCCTGTGGGTTCTGTCACAACTATCAAGAAAGCATTTTAGGTCAAGGTTAATATTGGAATTTAAGGTCCTGTAGATGTAGACTGCACAGTAATAAGTGTGGATGTACTGAACAGGGAGTAAGTTTAGATCTATGAAGAGTGGGGGTGTGTGTTGCCAGGGATGGGATTTAGTGATTATTCTTACTGCGGCTTTTTGTTGGGTCATTATTGGCTTTAGGTGTGTTGCTGCAGTTGAACCCCAAGCACAGATAGCATAGGTGAGGTATGGATATATAAGTGAATGGTATAGTGTGAGAAGGGCATTTTGCGGCACGTAGTATCGTATCTTGGAGAGGATCCCAACCGTTTTGGATACTTTTTTGGTTATTGTGTTGGATATGGGTGCTGAAAGTTCAGGTTGTTGTCGAGGTATAGGGCTAGGAATTTGCCCTCATTATGCCTGGCAATTAGAGTGTTGTCTATCTTAATGTTAATTTGCGCATCTCCTGCCTGCTTACCAAACATAATGTAGTAGGGTTTTTTCAGTGTTAAGCGTAAGTTTATTGGCTGTCATCCAAGTCGATATTTTGATCAGCTCCTCATTAACAATGGTGTTGAGGGTGGCAAGATTTGGGTGAGAGATGACATAAGTCGTGTCGTCAGCAAAGAGAATGGGGTTCAGGTGTTGAGATACGTTTGGAAGATCATTGATGTAATGAGGAAGAGCAGGGACCAAGGACACTTCCCTGCGGAACTCCAGTATCAAGTGGCTGTGTTGTTGATGCTGTGTCTTTAATTGTGACATACTGATACCTATTAGTAAGGAAGATTTGAAATATGTAAGCGCATGGCCTCTTATACCATAATGGTCAAGTTTGTGGAGTAGGATGCCGTGGTCTACTGTGTCAAAAGCTTTTCTTAGGTCAATAAAAATTCCTAGTGGATATTCCTTATTTTCCAATGCTGTGTAAAGCAGATCTAGCATTTTTATGATTGCATCGTTAGTGCTTTTATTTTTCCTGAATCCAAATTGGCAGGGGTTGAGTATGTTTTGTGCCGTTATAAATGAATATAGTCTCCTGTGCATGAGTTTCTCAAAGATTTTGGATAGCAATGGTAAGTTTGATATTGGCCTATAGTTGTTTAAATCTGTAGGGTCACCACCTTTATGTATTGGTGTAACCCTTGCCGTCTTGAGTAGTTTCGGGAAGGTGCTAGTTTCTAGTGACTTGTTAAAAAGTAATGAGATAGCATGCAAGAGGACATGGGCCGCTCTCTTGTACAATAATGGTGGGACATGAGACAGATTCCCTGAGTTATTTTTAAGTGACTTTATAATCTCGGTGACTTCCGTGGGCTCAGTTGGAGCAAGATAGAAGGAATTTGGGAAATTCCCATCTAGGTAGTCCCCGGCATGGGCATTGGTACGTGGGATTTTATTGGCGAGATTAGAGCCTATGGTTGAGAAGAAGTCGTTTATCTTGTTAGCTGTGTTAGTGGGATGCAGTGGTGTTTCATTATGTTTAGTTAGGACAATATTCTTGGTTTTTTTCAGTTTGTGGGTCCCTAGAATCTGAGAGAGTGTTTTCCAGGTCTCTTTATTATCTCCTCTTGTGTCAGTGAATCTACTGGAGTAGTATAGTTGTTTGGCTTTCTTTATTACTTTGGTGAGGACTGATGAATAGTGTTTAAGAATATCTTTGTGTATTAAGCCCTGTCTATATTGCTTTTCATATTGGTGTTTCTTATCAATGGATTTCAGAATGGTGCTGGTTAGCCATGGGCAACCAAGCCGTTTGTTTGTGATCTGTTTCGTTTTTATAGGACAATGTTTGTTGTATAGTCTAAGTAATTTGTTAAGAAAAATGTCTGTCCAGTCATCAATACCATTGGCCTTGGAGAATTCTGTAGGCCAGTCAACAGTCTCTAGGTCAGCTGTGAACTTCCTTATTGAGGCCTCATCATGGAGTCTAAATGAAACTTTGTTGTATTCAAGTGGTGGTTTACTAATGTTTGTCAAGAGGAAGGTAGGGTAGTGGTTTGTAGTGCTATCTGTGATTATCCCTGATTTAAGGGGGGCTAGTATATTGGTCCATATGTGGTCTATTATGGTTGCACTTGTTTCAGTGAGCCTGGTTGGTTTAGTTATTGTTGGTATGAGAAGTGTGTTGTTCATATTGTTGTTGAAATCAGTTACAGGCTGATCATCTAGTAGGCCAAGGTTGATGTTGAAGTCTCCAGCTAAGAGAAGGTGGTGCTTATTCATTTGTCTGTTTGTTATTAATGCCTTTAATTTCTCACTGAAATTTGGGATGTTTGTGTGGGGTATCCGGTAAATGGCACCGATTGTTATAGGCGTCTTAAGGTTTTTACAGTAAAATTAGCAAAAATGTATTCTCCATATTCATCACTAAAGCAAGTGGTGCTAATACAAGATAATTGGTTAGAGTAATAGATTGCAATACCACCCCCAACTTGGTATGGTCTGCAGTTGTGGATTGCTGTGTTTTCCTGGTAGAGGGTAGATATTTATTGTGTCCTGCTTAAGCCAGGTCTCAGTAAGAATAATGCAGGAGAAGGGTGTCTTTAGTGATTCAAGGAGTGCCAGGAGGTCATCATAGTGTTTGCTTAAGGACCTGATGTTGTAGTTAAGTACTGATAGACTTTTATCATTGTTTAGGATAGTGCTGGCTTGTGATGCTGTGTAGTAAAGGCAGTTACTTTCCAATAGGTTTTGATTGTGTGTCAGATTATGGAGGTTTAGATCAGGGTCAATGTGATCAATCATCTTCTAGGTTTAAATTATGGTTATTTATATCCTGAGTTGTGTTGAGTTTTAGTACTGATATCTGTAGTGATGGGAAGTTTGGACAAGTATATAGCTATAGCATTTTGGTCATGTAGAGTAGGGTCATGTAGGAAGGGAGTAAAGGAGGTTTTGTGTGTGAGGGGCATGGACTTCCAGCAAGCATGCGTGAGCATGTTAGATAATGAATGGAGACAAATGGCTTTTAGGGCTTGACGTGCTGTTGGAATGTGAGCAAGGTAACACTTATGAAGGGATTCAGGGAAACCAGCAGGCCAGACTTGAGTCCTGGAGATGGGAAGTACAGTGTCTGCACTCTGAAAGAGGGATGTTAATGTTTTATAACTGTAGTATAAGCACGCCTCTGGCAAGACAGTGATGGAATGAATGAATGATGAGTGTTTTTCTTTTTCGGGCCACCCTGCCTTGGTGGGAAACAGCCTGTGTGGTAATAAAAAAAAATATCATAAGTAAACTGCATTTGAGTTATGGAACTAATTTGTAAAGGAAACTAGGAGAAGGTGTGGAGTTAATAAAAGTATTAGTCAGAGGGCTGAAGAGGGGTTGTTGAGGTGGTTTGGTCATTTAGAGAGAATGGATCAAAGTAGAATGACATGGAGAGCATTTAAATCTGTAGGAGAAGGAAGGTGGGGTAGGGGTCATCCTCAAAAAGGTTGGAAGGAAGGGGTAAGGGAGGTTTTGTGGGCGAGGGGCTTGGACTTCCAGCAGGCATGCATGAGCGTGTTCGATAGGAGTGAATGGAGACGAATGGTATTTGGGACCTGACGATCTGTTGGAGTGTGAGCAGGGTAATATTTAGTGAAGGGATTCAGGGAAACCGGTTATTTTTATATAGCCGGACTTGAGTCCTGGAAACGGGAAGTACAATGCCTGCACTCTAAAGGAGGGGTTCGTGATATTAGCAGTTTGGAGGAATATGTTGTGTATCTTTATACGTATATGTTTCTAAACTGTTGTGTTTCTGAGCACCTCTGCAAAAACAGTGATTATGTGTGAGTGAGGTGAAAGTG